CGACCGGAAATCAACTTCTACCTACACACACACACACACACACACATAAACAAATACACAAAATGGCACAAGGCGGCGTCAAATCCGCCTCGCGCCCCGCGCCGACGGGAAAACCCAAACACAAGCAACTCAAGAACGCCTCGCGCGTAGCGAAGCCCCAAAAGGCGAAAGCGCACTCCTCGGCGGACAAGATGCAGAAGAAGATGGCCGCGGGCCTGACGTCGCGGACGGAGAAGCTGTTGGGGGAAAGGGCGGGTCACTTGGAGCTTATTGGCAAGGGGAAGAAGGCGAAGAAGGATGATAAGAGCGGGAAGGGGTTACAGGCGACCAAGGGGGGCAGCCGGAAGTATGGTTAAGGTCTTTTCACTCTCCCTCTTTGCACATGATTGAGAGAGCGGGGGGGCTCGGGAGGGATGAGGAGAGTTTCGTGGTCTTTCATTGTGGTGGAGGATTAGATGGGCCGGAGTGGAAGACCGTGGGAGGGCGGATGGACACATCGAAAACGGTGAGGGAAGCCCCAATGCGAAGGCCAGCGTCGGTGAAGAGCGTACTTGGATGGGGGACTATATAACTATGAAAAGGAAGGGGTTTAACGACTAGATACCCTCACATAATCGACAACCATGTTTTCTGTTTCAAGCCAGCTGTCGCAATCACATCTGACTATCTTCCTTTGGAAAAACTCGGGACTTTGAAGTAGGGGCATCTCTTGAGGTCGAGCGGAGAGATGCCAGGCTTGAGAATCGGCCTTCGTCGCGATGTCGCATATGCTCAGAGATACATGAGGGCAAGACGTTCTCCGGACAGGTCGCTACACCAGGTAAAAGCGTATCGGTTTGGGTAAAATCTTCTGTTGGCTGTCTGGTCATGTTGCTGAGCCGATATGCATGCCGGTTTCCAGCCGTGGGAAACATCACTATGCCTGACTACGGTGTTACTTCCCGACGGCGTGCTCTCGTATTTGCACCGCCCTCGTTTGAAGGCCTCGACTTATCCTCTACCCTGGAGCATGATTCCTTTAGTCTGTACTCTATTGCAAGTAAGCTTCAGTGTTGTCAACGACACTGGTGGTAAGGGGTCCAGTTGTCATGGGACAAACGCGAGGTCTCGTTCGGCGCACCGTCATCAACACTGCGGAAAGCTGACCAGCTTCACTTCTTGATGTAACAACGTTCCAAGTTCTGAATCAGTTACTATAGCGAAGTGCGGCACGTAATCAGACAACGCCCTCCTGTCATGCATGCGAATGAAACGATGGATAAAAGACAGAAACGGTAGAACAAAATTCAACTCGAACCCGTGACCTCTGCGAATTAAAAAAACAAGCTACCCATGGCATTATGTAGGACCGTGATCCAACATACGATAGACGTGTACCGCTCGGCCAGCGACTACAACAGACGCTGCTTGTTGAGAATCGTTCCTTCTTTGCTACCTATCACTGATCGGATGAGGGCCATCAAGGTGTGCAAGGCACATCATGCGAGCTTCCAGTGACAATGCTGTATATATACATCGTTCCTGTCACGGTGGAATAAACATTCCTTGGGCGTATAGTAGATTGGATACACCTGAAGTGGCCATACAACTCAGGGACCGCTAAAACATGCCATGACTGGGGCGTTCCGGACACATGCCCGGCTTCGGCGCCGTTGAATCCGGAGTGGGGCCCGTCAAGGTTACCTGTCATCGTGCACTGACCCACCACTTCAACCCGGCGTCCCCGCAGTCATCGCAAACCGCCTAAATCCATCGTAAACCGCCGGCGACTCAAGAGCCCCTCCATCACCACACCGGAGCCGACCGACTGGGAGCGCAACGAACGCCTGCCTATCTCGCCGACACCGAGTCCACATCTTCGGCACCTCAAACGATATCTCATAAAGCCCAATCCCGCCGTTCTTCAACTTTCTACTCACTACCTCCCTCTCTCTCTCTCTGCTTCTCTCACCCTCTTATCTCAGTGCTCACAAAGAACCCCGCACTATTCGCTCAACATGTCTCTCTCAAACGAAGACTGGGAGGAGCTCCGCCAAGACATCCCATCCGTCTCTGACCCGTTCATCGCACAATACATCAGCGGCCGCGATGCCCTCATAGCCCAAGAGCACAAGAGCCGCGCCGACGCCTCCTTCAAAGCAGCCGCGTCCCCCATCGCCCGCCGTGCAGCAGACATCGTCTCCCGCATCCGCGACGAGGAGAAGCGGACGATATGGAACGCCCAGACGGAGGAGGACATCGCCACCACCGAAGGGCTGGCACCCTTCCCGGGCATGATGTTCACGCTCGCCAAGCAGCGCCTCGAGACGACCCGGCTGTGGCGCATCGTGCAGAGGATGCCAAAGGGCTCGCTCCTGCACTCCCACCTGGACGCCATGGTGGACTTTGACTTTTTGTTCGATGTCCTGCTCAAGACGCCCGGTATTCACTTTGCTGCGGACGAGCCCCTGTCCAACGACGCGGCGAGGTCGAACGCCAGCGTGCACTTCCGGTACAGAAAGGCGGAGACGAGTTCGAGGCCTGTCTGGGAGGATGGATACGTCCCCGGCGAGTTCCGGCTGTTGACCAAGGCGGCGGATGAGTATCCCGAGGGTGGACGAGCGGGATTCCTCAAGTGGCTCAAGGCGCGCTGCACAATCACATTGACAGACAACATGGAGCAGCATCACGGTATTGACGCTGTCTGGCGCAAGTTCGCCTCGTGTTTTGGCGTCACCAACACCATTATTCACTACGAGCCAATCTTCCGTGCTTTTCTCAAGAGATTGATGGCGTCGCTGTTGGCAGACGGCATCTACTGGATCGAGCTGAGGTAAGAAAATGTCCCTATTGCACCCTTCAAGACGATATACTGACCCCAGAACAGATTCACTTGGCCGCTCAACTACTGCCGCGACCAGCAAGAAGAGCCAGAAAAGGACTACAACCACATGTTCCAAGTAATGGAAGAAGAGCTCGCCCTCTTCAAATCCGACCCCGCCCACGCCGCCTTCTGGGGCTTCCGCACCATCTGGACCACCATCCGCCACCTCCCCGTCCGCGACATCATCGAGAGCATGGACAATTGCATCACCACAAAGATCTCCTGGCCCCACCTCATCGCAGGCTACGACCTCGTAGGCCAAGAAGACCTCGGCCGGCCCCTCCGCGACCTCCTCCCGGAACTTTTCTGGTTTCGCAAGCAGTGCGCCCAGGAAGGCGTCAACCTCCCCTTCTTCTTCCACGCCGGCGAGACCCTCGGCGACGGCGACGAGACGGACCAGAACCTCTTCGACGCCATCCTCCTCGGCACGCGACGCATCGGCCACGGCTTCTCGCTCTACAAGCACCCGCTCCTCATCGACATGGTCAAGGAGAAACGCATCCTCGTCGAGTCGTGCCCCATCTCCAACGAGGTCCTCCGCCTCTGCGGCTCCATCATGTCGCACCCCCTGCCCGCGCTGCTCTCGCGCGGCGTCTCGTGCGCGCTGTGCAACGACGACCCGGCCATGCTGGGCCAGGACACGGCGGGCATGTCGCACGATTACTGGCAGGCGCTGCAGGGGTGGGAGAACGTCGGGCTGCTGGGGCTGGGATCCATGGCGGAGAACAGCGTGCGGTGGTCCGCCTTTGAGGACGAGACACCGGCGGAGTGGACCGAGGGGATCAAGCAGGCGAGCCTGGGGTCTAGCGTCAAGGCGCAGAGGCTCAAGTTGTGGGAGACGGAGTGGGAGAGGTTCTGCCTTTGGGTTGTGGATGAGTTTGGTGACGAGGCGGATAAGGCGTGAGAGAGGAGGGGGCAAGGCAATTTTCTGAGGTTCTGCTACGCAGTGCACTGTGATGTTGACTGGATGAAGTCACATCCCTTTCTTCAACAATCGAGACGGCGTGGCGCGTGGGGGAGGAACGGCGTCTGAAAGCGAACGAGGCAAACCGGGATTTAGGCACGGGCAAAACAGGGATATGGGAAACAATGGAATTTTCAACAGAGCGCCATGATTATTGGTTGGGGGTCTCAAACGGAAACGGCTTGCATTCAACACCGCGGATATACTATAAAGGGCATTCAACGCGGCTCTGGGGTTGGGAGGAACAGAACTGGGGGAGGGGACAAGGGAGCTTAGAACCGAGTGTGCGGTTAGACTACACCCTCCAAAAAGGGGCGGGGGGCTTTTGGCGGCCCATATCAGCCCTCAATATCAGTATTGCGAACCATCTTGTTTCTAGTCATTTCGGACTGATGTCGGCGGTTTAGGAATTATATGGTGCTTCTTGACCGTCGTCATGAGGCTGGGGGTTCGTTTGTGCAAAAGGTCCCAAGGCATATCAAAATTCCATACATTTACGCGCGTGCGGTTCACCACCACCTTCCCCTCCCCTCTCTCCCCTCGTCCAGGTGCGCGGCCTAAGCTACCGCTTCTGGATAACCGTAACGCAGCCGGGGTCTCGTCTGGATTCGCCGGCACATGGGAATGGTAGCTATGCAATGTGACGGGAAGGATGGGCTGTAGCCAATTAGATACCATTACCGCGCCGCCGGAGTTGCTCGCAGAAAAGTTAGGTAGGGGGGTGGTCAGCATTAGTAAATCCCGGGATCTTGGAAAAAGAACGCAGGCTTACAGAGCGAAATTGCTAGAACTCGGGGGAAGCTACCTGGCACTTGGGACCGGCTGCATCTACCGAACGGATCCTAATCTCTCGAGAGAGGCTGAAGCGTTTATCTTGGTCGGAAATGCAGATGTGGTGTCCAGGTAACAGGTTCAACTACGCTGCCTTGGGCTTTCGAATCGGGGGTTGAATCCTCTTTTGGGGCGAAGGATTCATACGTCTTTCCACGATGGTACCCTCCAGATTTACTGCATGCTGTCATCTCACTGGACCGATGAGGCCTCCTTTCAGTAGGGGTCCCCTTCGGTGTCAACTCGATTGCTAGGATGTTCTTGGGGTGGCAGTTCTTGTAAGTGCGTCGAGGATAAGCCGGCCAATGTTTTCGACACTTGAGCACTTGAGTGAACTGGAACCGTTGAGGAATCCGTACGATGCTACTGGTGTATAAGCCAAATGTTCAGTGATCTAACAAAGATCCACAACAACATGATCTGGTTTTTCATACCAGCTCTGGCACAAACGACCTTCCCCCGAAGAAACCATGCGGCACGTGAATTTCTGGAAGAACTCAGATGAAAGTAGAGATAGCATGCCAGAAATACAATGAGAGAATGGTGCCTGGCTTTCATTAGATCGAAAATGTCTCCTAGCTTAATACACAGCGAAGAGAAAGTTGCCCTCTATGATCCTGGTCCCCAGTTAGATTCGAGCCACGACCTGAAACTGACTGGACGAAAGTCGACGGCTTCATTCAGGTTGGCCTGACGAAAATCGTATCGACCATCCGCCGTAGCTACCAGACGCTGGATATTCCACCACTGGTCCCAGTTCTGTCGTTGTAAGTAGTGTGTAAGCTCGCTCTGGAGCTTGGAGTACTTTCTAGTACGCAAGGTAAACGCCACTATCATTTCATTAGCCCATACAGTCTCAATATACCTCTCGAGTAGAGGAATAAAGATCACTCACCGCCTCTCACGTTGCTGCACTTTGCAAATATGTCACGAACCGACATCCTGTCCCCTCTCATCTTGAACTCGCGAGGCCACGCCCCAGGTCCCAGCTCAATAGCAGCAGCAACAAACCGAGCCACGTCAGCGACAGAGGTCATGCAGACCTGGACAGGTCTTCCAGCGCTGTTGGTCTCGACAATATCTGCAGACGCATTCCCGACATCGACGAGATAGCATCCCTGACTCCCAATGGTAGCGCGGGCTCCCATGCCATACTCTGCCAGCCCACCCGGAGCGAAGCGCTCGTACAAGATGCCGCAGGAGAAAACTGTGTATTCCATCTTGCGAGACTTTGAACTGGCGCAGTGTTTCAGTAGCTCTATGGCTTCGGAGGAGCCGTAGTCGAGAGGATCTGCGCCGGATGGTCGGTGAGATATTGAGCCTTCGAACTCTGCGGGAACGAAGACACGGACGCGGGCGTGGCGGGCTGCGTGGATGGCGTTGATTTGTTCCTGTCCGCGTATCGTCGAGATGACGAGATCGATACCCTGGAGGGCGAAGCGAAGGCTTTCGGCATCGTCGTAGTCTACTACGGCAACTTGGCAGTCGTAGCGTTCTTCCAGCTCTGGGTTTGACTGTGCCATCCCTTAGTGACTTGATCTACTCAGTTGTCCTCATTACCTACTTCTCTTGACAGAATGATCACAGGGTTCGCTGTTTGTGTGATTTGATGGGCTAGGATAGCTGCGAAGCCTCCACCGCCCACGATAGCTATTCTCATCATGACTGTGGTATGTAGTGGGTATGGCAGATTGAGACTGATCAAAGTTAGTCTCCAGGATTCGGACCCGTCCAGAATTTGTAGTTTATCGTTCATCACTGCTAAGTTTCGATTTCACACTTACTTGATATATGCCATTCTCATAATGAAAATGCCATGGTAGTCAACGGAGAGTGCCGATAACAGACCACACCACTAGAGAATGTGCGAAGTGACTCAAAGACGTTATTGGGATACGACTGGCTCTTTCGATACAAGGCAACAACACGAAAAAGTCCATACGAGCATATCCGTAGCCAATCCCGCGTCCAAAGCGAAAGCTCTAGCGACTAGAGGTCAACTTCGAATTCATTTGAGTTCCGGTTGTTGACGTGGATATGAGACGATTCTCTTTCTCGACGTTGTAAGCCAAGAGAATAGAAGTGACTTCGAGAAGGTGGTGGGGTCCGACTTTGTATTCAGTTCACATCGACATCGTAATCGGGGTGACGTCTGCTGACTTGCATACCGGTGAAGGCAGCGAACAGAGGATAGCCAGACTAGCGGAAAGCAATTAGCCCCTACGGAGACGGAAGTCAACTTTCTAAGGGGCGGCCATCACAGGTTGTACATAATGCCAATACTGTGAAGGGACGTTCAGAGTGCCGTTTGGCATGCGCCGTAAGTACCTGGCTGCGTGGGGAAAGGCGCAGTGCCGTGGGCCGATATCCCAGATGACCGGACTGCAGGACGGCTAATCTCATCCCGCTGCGGCACGGCTGCGGGAATCAGAGACACCTCGTATCTTGCTTCAAAGCTTGATACGATTGCTAATTTACTTTCATGTTTTCTGAAAACTCCTTGTGCCACCAGGGAGTGCGAGCTCATGTTGACCTTGGAAGAAGACGAGACCCAGACTCAATGGAACGGATGTAGATGTTTTTGGCCCGAGCAACAACAATAAACGAGTACTTTGCGTCAGAACAAGGAACTTCAAGGTGGCGAAAAATTCCACTAGCTGGCAGAGACATCATTGTTCTCCGAGATGGGTTAGGTGGGGGGCTAGAGCCAAGCATGTGAGCAGGAAACGACGGTCCCCAGGTTGAACTCGACACCCGAGGCAGATGACCGAGTCCGCCTCTCATGTTCGATATGATGCCTCAATGGACGGTAGCAATGCGCCTTGTAATTTGGTGTGGTGCGAGAATCTCCGCCTTGGAATTCTCACCATCGAATGGGAGTTCCAGCTCGGCGTTGACGGCCAAATACCTCCACCTCACCGAGCCTCATCCGGGGGGTGAAACAAGGTCAGCGCCGTGAGGAATTCAGGGTTGTAGGACAATGTAACGGCAGCTAGCGTAGCATTGCCGCAACGGTGCAAACGATTGGGAGCCTGGCAACCTGGAGTCGAGAGAGACTGGAGTCGAAAGGGACGACGCGCCATACATGGCTGCCATTGGCGCACACCCCTGCCAGGAGAACAGGCTACCCTGCGCAAGACTCAGCCACGAGACTGGATGCCTAGCTTGTAGCATTGAGCTACGTTGGAAAGTACTCGGGCAAACAATTGCGATGTAGATGGAAATTTGGTGGTATGGCGACCCAGAACTAGGTACTTGATGAAGGAGGGGAGTCGAGAGATCGAGGTGGGGTCCGTTTCGGTACGTAGTCCATCCAATCGTTCAGCCCTATGCATGTGTGCCTCAGACATTTCTCAGGGATCGCACGCCCCAGCCGTGCAAGGACAGCCAGGGCCTCCCAGCAAGTCCGTGTTCCTCCGGGCATCGTCAACCGGGAACCACTTACCCAGCTCTATCGATTATCCGGCAGGAACCGGACTGGTCCCAGCCATCTCGCAATTGCCCATTGCGTATCTTGGCATGTCAAGACAGACATGTACGCCTTATCATGTCCTTCGGCGAGCCAACTTGAGTCCTTAAGGGCGTTGACGACATTTGACCCTTACCCGGGCAGACTGGTCTGTGGATTACGGCACCTTCTCCTGCCATTGGATTTGAACCCTGAAGTGGCAAAATCGTCTCAACATGATGGCTGTTCTGGGATGATAGTACCTAGGGTTGACCTGTGACTAGGTAGGTAGCGCTTCTGGATGTGAACCTGCCAGTATATGTGTTGATATTCTGGTAGGTCCTAAATTAGTCACAAGATTCCATAGCTTAGCAATATGGCATCATGCAAATTGTAAATGACGATCGAAATGCGGTAGATCAGGCCTTCGACTTGAAATGACGTTGTGGTCTACTTAGACTCGGCCTTTCTACAAGAAGAAAATACCGATATAGCGAGCCGATTCGTCGTCTAGAGTGAGTTGACGTTTGCGCAATCCCTTCGTATACAGATTTCACTATCTTTAGATGAGCATCTTGCTAGCATTAGTTCATTTTAAAGCAATAGCCAAGATTGATGTGCTACACAATGCCGATACGGCGGCTGAGGAAACGAGAGGAAACTTGGTCGGATCTATGATTGCGCTTCTCGATGACCAATTTTTCAGGGCACACCTCGCCGTGGGTTACTTGAAACAAATAATCTTACAATTAGTACCCATACGCGTCACGAGATGATCGAAGACTAGAAGTAGAACAATTCATTCGCGAAAGGTCTAGGCGTAGATGAAAGAAACCCCTTTCCTAGACCTCACTGGCTCCTCGGCACTGGTTCATAATCGTGACCAGGACGAAGTCGCATCTCAGTCCCACCAATGAGAGTAAGAAGCCGCTTTTTCATGAATTGCTCCCGTGATTCACACATGCATGGGCTTCTTTCGCGTGGGGGGTTCTAGGCAGGACATTTCAGGCAGAATCAGTGCCTATAAGGTACAATGAAGGCGACCCTTGACGTGGACATTTGAGATGTCGGAAGTGAATCATTCGTGACAGCGCGGACGCGCCCTTGGTGCATTGCGTGCCTGCCAATTTTAGCAACGCTGGGGCAGGGTATGCGACTCTTTCTTGATTGGAGCGCGAGAAGCTTAGACCACCTAGAGGTTCGGTGAGCTCGGTGAGCCCTAGGACCACCAGTCCCTCAACGCCGCCGGATAAGGTATTGATCCGTTGCCCTAGAATTTCGCTGCCTTTTTTTTTTCTCACCCACAACCGAAATCCACTTTTGGGCTAGGAAAAGTTTCGTGAAGTGTCAAGCTCCATCTCAATCTGTCAAGTCTTCCCCTCCCCTCACCACAACCAACACAACCAAACGCAGGATCAAACTTCTTTGCGTCCATCACATCCGTCCAAAATGGCTCCTCAAGCAGTACGTACATGACACACCGCTTTGCTGTTGGCCCAGCCCATTTCTCTTCTGTCTCTCTCTGAAAATGATGAGAGTTGGAACAGAAATGGGCGGCGGCGTGAAACAGTAGGCTAACGTCATGTTCCCCAATATCTAGGCGATCAAGCGCGCCGGCAAGGGCAAGAACCAGAAGGTTACCAAGAAGTTCATCATCAACGCTTCCCAGCCCGCCTCCGACAAGATCTTCGACGTCGCTGCGTTCGAGAAGTTCCTCCAGGACAAGATCAAGGTTGAGGGTCGCGTCGGCAACCTCGGCGACCAGGTTCAGATCTCCCAGCAGGGTGAGGGCAAGATTGAGATCATTGCCCACAACGAGCTCTCCGGCCGCTACCTCAAGTACCTGTAAGTTGTCCACCTTTCGTTGCGCGCCAGCGAGGAATTGCCTCTGAAAGGACCAATTACTGACGTACTGTCCCACTTCCAGCACCAAGAAGTTCCTCAAGAAGCAGCAGCTCCGTGACTGGCTCCGTGTCGTCTCCACCTCCAAGGGTGTCTACGAGCTCAAGTTCTTCAACGTCGTCAACGACGAGGCTGATGAGGACGACGAGTAAACGGTTTCTATGCACTAGTCAGGTTAAGGTTACTTGGGTCGGCATGGCACTGGAATTTTGGCAAGGTTAAAACGGAATACCAAAAGTTAGCACCTTCGTGTGCCTGTTGATCTGCCACTTTGTCTTTTGTTTTGAATCTCTTTGTGATGCATACTGTGAGGTGCGATTATGATTCCGATGCTGGGTATCCTGAAGTCTATCTATGGCTATCGGTGCCCCTCGTACAAAGTCTCGTCTATAATGCAAGGTGATTGCCCGCACATCTACTCCGGCAGAGCCCGCATAACGCCCTCAAATGCAACCAACGCCATGGCATTAGCCGGGAACGCCCTCAAGAAACACGGCAAAAATCCGCGCCAGTAGCCCTTCCACCCCGTCTCCCGATATACCGCCCTCGCAGCATCCTTCCACCTCCTGAACTTGGGCGTGCCGTCATTGAGCCCGCCACCAAGGGGATCCGTCATGATGCGCTGCTTGATCACGTCCGACGGGTAACTCGTCAACCAGAAAATCTGCGCACTCAGCCCGCCCGCCCAGAAATTCACCGCCGGCGCGCTGAGGTTCGTGTTCTTCTTAAAGTACTTTGAAAACACATCATAGCTGCCCCACCAGCAGAAAAAGAACCCTCGAAACAGCAACGTCGCGCTGAGGCCGTGGTAGACGCCCCGAATACCGTGGTTCGTGTAAATCTTGCGCAGGCAGTCGACGGGCCCGCTGTACAGCCGCTCGGCCTTGTTGGCGGCGTACTGAATCTGCAGGCGCGCCTTGACGTGCTCGACGGGCGCGGCGATGAAGCTGACGGTGCTCCCGGCCATGATGCCCGCGATGCCGTGGCCGTACGAGGGGAGGTTGTCGACGGTGCCGACGCGGAAGAGGCGCTCGGCGACGAGGCGGCGGTAGACCGTCAGCGAGCCTAGCATGACTGAGTCCATGAACATCCAGCCCACTAGCGGAGGGGTCGCGCCCTTGTAGAGACCGGGAATGCCTTCGTTGCGTAGCGTTTGGCCTACGCATTGGAGTGGGCCGCTGAAGCGCGAGGCGTCTGTTGTTTGGAGGCGGACTTTGATTGTGTCGAAGGGGTGGCCGACTTCGCTGTTTCAGTACGGTATTTGAGAAGGCGTGAGAAGGAACTCTCTGGAGGCAGAGTGACTAACCTGTGAGCTTGGCGATTCCGGAGAATACTCCGGCGACGAAGCCCTTGTAGTTCTTCACGGCCGCCTTGGGCTCTTCCCTCACCTCTGCCGCCATGATGTCTGAGTGAGGGGAACTCCCGGTCGTCGTGAGATTGCGCGCGGCAGCCATCGCATCCAATTGAGAAACGCCAGTGTACCAGCGTTCACGTCGTCGCGGTCGGAGCCAACGGATCTTTTCCGAAGAGGCCTTGGTGTAGAAAGAGGTGATCAAACTCTCTCTATCGCGACTTGTTGGGCCTTATACACAGTCCATCCCCTGGAGAGTTGAGTTGCAAGGTGATGCGAAGTGACTGTTCGTGTCTCGCTCTTCATGAATCATGAAGCTCGCCGATTCTCGCTAAGCAGAAAAGGAGCCGATTCCGGGGGACGTGGGGGAGCTAATAATCGCATCGAAGCTCGTGCTGATTGGTCAGAGCATAGTGCATGGCGCACACCCTGGCACCAGGTTTCCTTGTACGGATCAAGGAACTTGGTCTCCATCATTCCTCCACGGGGTTATCGGGGAACGAAGCCCGAACTCTTCACCTTGTGGCTTCAGCCTTCTCGTCAGTGTGGGAAACGGTGATTACGGATACTTCTATGCTGACTGAAACGGTAATTTTTGGTTTCTATCTTCTTGATATTCTTAGACTTGTCGCCTCAAACAATTGAAGCTTCATCGTGGAACGCATATTCCGTGGATCATTCAGCCTATCTGTAAACCACATACTCATAAGGGCTAGTTGGCAATTCATGGTGATAATGGCCTCTGATCCCAGTAGGTATAGTGTATAGACCTGATCATTCATGGTGACAATCTAGTGTATGGCAGTAGCTAGAATGTTTTTACACCATCGTCCTTCCCATGTATACAATAACTAACTACCTCACGACATATCAGCGCAGCAAACTATTCTGCATATGAATCTTTCCAATCCCTCCTTACGTGAAGGGAAGCTCTTCACAGACATAGAAAGCATCATCATAGCAAAGTCTTAGAACCGAGAAAGGCCGCAGCCACCCAGCGAGGTCGCGGCGCATGCTCTGGCAGGGATAAAGAATGCTTCGACTCTCAACCATTCGCATGTGCTCGGAACTTTCATTACACCCGAGACGATGCTCCCATGCTGCCGGATTCTACGAGCAGATACCTAATTATCGTACAATCTGCGCAACTAAAGAGCTGTGTAAGTGCGGAATACGGATATATGGCTAAGGCATGGGGGGTGATGTAATTTGGTAGCAGACAGGGGCCCAGAGCTTCCTCCCTCCAACCCCCGAGCTCCCAGCGCTGACGTCACGTGGAGTTCACCTTCACCCGAACACCTGCACACCCCACCACGCCCACCAGACGGTAGCTGGCAATCTGGTGAATCGTTCTACAACACCACACTCCGAGTTTGCCAAAAACTCGCAAAGCTCGCCAGATCACGACGCCTGAGCAATCGATCACCATGAAAGCGATTTACGCCTTCCCGGCGACCCTCGCCCTCGTCTATCGAGCTTGGTCGCACCAGTCCCTGACCCCCGCAGGCATTGTCGCCGCCGTCGTTACAGCTATCGCCCATGCCTACCACCCGTGGAACCTGCCATTCGCGCTGCTCTGCACTTTCTTCCTTGCTGGAACAAGGGCCACCAAGGTACGGCTAGCTCACTTACTGCAGCGAAACGCCAAATGCTAACTCATCTTTCAGGTCAAACACGATGCTAAAGCACAAATGACGATGGCCTCACGAGGCACATCGGGAGGTGAAGGAGCACGCACCCACGTCCAAGGTTGGTCCATTAAAACCCCCAAGTTGATTCAGCACAGTAAAGCTAACCTTTTCCCCTCCAACAGTCTTCGCCAACTCGCTCATGGCCTCGTGCCTATCCCTCCTACACGCCTACCAACTCAATAAGCGCAAGGACGCAATCCTCGATACGACAACCCCGAATCCCTCAGGCACACTCTGCTACTCCTGGGGCGGTGACCTCCTCGTAATCGGCATCATCGCAAACTACGCAGCCGTCGCCGCCGACACATTCAGCTCCGAGCTGGGCATCCTAGCCAAGGGCGAACCCCGCCTCATCACATCCCCCACTCTGCGCAAGGTCCCGCGCGGTACAAACGGAGGCGTGACACCCCTAGGCATCGCCGCCGGCGCCCTCGGCTCCATGATCATCGTCACGGCCTCCATGGTCTTCCTCCCCCTCTGCGGCGACGACAGCGCCGGCAAAGTCGGCGGCAGCCTCGGCGCGTGGACGACGCAGCAGCGGTCTACGTTCATGCTGGGCATGACCCTCTGGGGTGTCCTGGGGAGTCTGCTCGACAGCGTGCTGGGAGCCGTCTTCCAGCGCTCCGTGCGAGATGTGCGGACCGGCAAGATCGTGGAGGGCGAGGGCGGCGCAAAGGTCCTCATCGCTAGCGACTCGGGCGACCACGCCGACAAGAACCTGAAGCGCGCCACCATCAAGGCCGCAGCGCTTCACGGGGAGGGCAAAGACGCCGTTGAGAAGATGGCGGCGAACGCAGACGTCAACGCTCTCGAGACGAGTGACGAGAAGAAGAGATATGACCCCGAAGACAAGTACCGTAAGCCCACCATGGGCGACGCCAAGCCCTCGCGGGTCGTGGAGACTGGATGGGACTTGCTGGATAACAATGACGTGAACTTCCTTATGGCATTCACCATGAGCATCGGCGCCATGGGCGTGGCTAGCTTGTACTGGGGTGTTCCGATTGAGACAATACTCGACCTATAGAGTAATAATACCATTGTCGTGTTTAGCACATCATCTCAGAGACATGGAAGGCTCCTTACATCGTCGAGGGCTAGATGTGCGATATAAGGTAAGTAACTACGTTGTATTGCCATTCAAAGGCTGAACAGCTAGCCCTTGCCTTTTTCCCAGCCTCGGGATGTACCTCAAATCACCGCCCTGCAAAAAGTTGGTATGAAATATCTATGCTGGGGCAGGTGCGCGCGACGTGTTGCTCATGGCAACATAATGCATAAGCTGATGATTGACACGAGCGTCCAACCCAGATGTCCCAGATATCATCCCAACGCGAAAACGACCATGTCGTTCGCCATTCTCATGTCATCTGCAAAGCCAGTAAAATCAAAAGCAAATAGTTCCACCGCGTTTGATCTTCATATTGGAAGAAGGGCACAAAAAGGGGGGTCACCAGTAGGGAATCGAACCAAAAAAACGAAAGGTTGGAGGGTGGTCGAGGAAGAACGGATTCCACTGGCGCCTCCTAAGCCCCTTGGCCACCCGCCCCTTTTGCTTGCTGAGGTGAGGAGGAGAAGCAGCCCATGTATTGCCTGCCCTCTTTCTTTCCGGCTGGATTGAATGGGCCATAGATCATTGGTCGTATTCGGGCATGAATTAGGTGGATTAGCAGTAATATACAAACTGAATAAGGTAGGAAAAGGATTTCACCTTACGGCAAAAAGAAAGATGTCACTAGTAGAGTATCGAAATGAAAGTGAAGCGAAGGTTGAGGGTGGTCGAGGAAGAACGGATTCCACCGACGCCTCCTAGACCACTCGATCACCTGCCCCTTACGCTTATATTCAGATGAAAGAAAAAGTCATCCAAGTACGATTCCCTTTCCTTGCTGGCAGATCGGTAGAAAGGCTGGTTCATTGACCATGCACTGGCACGAATACCTTCCATTAGCATCATCGCACCTAAACAGCAAAAGAAATCACCTTCATCCCCTTGCAGAAATATCCCCCAAAACCCTCGTCACAACCTCAAAATCCCTCTCAACATCAACCCTCCAACTCCCCACAGCAACCCTAACAGCCTTCCTCCCCTTCCAACTCGTTCCGCTGACATACACCTCCCTCGTCCCATTAATCCTACCTACAAGCTCCTCATTCAACCCCTCATCCCGCGCGCGGAACAGCACAACCATGTGCGTCTCCTCGACGTCCCATTCACCCTCGGCCTCGGGAAGAAGCTCATACGCATCCGAAGCCCGAATCCACACCGCCAACTTCCGCGCCAGAATCACCATGCGGCCCAGGATAGCCGCCAGCCCGCTGCGCCCTTCGGACCGGAGGACGGCGTAGGCTGGTAGTGCCCGGAAACGGCGCGAATTCTCGAGGCCGATGTTGAGTGGGGAGGGGATTGTGGAGGGGCCGGAGGAGAGGTAGGCTGCGTTTGGGTTTGTGAATACGGCTGTTTGGGTTGGGAGTGAGCGGCAGAAGAACATGCCGCAGTCGTAGGGCTGTTTTACACGATGTTAGTTACCCTTTGCTTCATATCGCAGAAGGGGGCTGGAGGGGGGTGTTGATGCCAACGTACCACGTTTAGAAGCTTGTGCCCGTCTACTGTGATGCTGTCGGCGAGTTCCAACCCCGAAGCCATCTCTTTAATCTTTGCGAATTCGGGCTTCGCCTCGAGAGCCCGAGCAAATATTCCAAAAGCTATGACACCACGATCGTTAGCAAGATCACAACACACACCCATACAGACACATCCGCTCACCATAACTCAAACCAAGACAAGAAGAAAAAGAATACTCACCACCATCAACATGAATCCAAGCCCCAAACCGATCCGCCAACCCCCTCAACCTCCCCATCTCCTCCTTGCCTTCCGTCGCAAACCTACCCGTATTCACCTCGCCCGCACTAACAGCAATGACACTCACAACCCCATCCCTCTCCCCCTTCTCCAAAGCTCTCTCTACAGCCTCCAAATCCAACCTCCACGGCTTGTCCTTACTCAGCGGAAGCTCCTTGACGCTCGCCCTCCCGATGCCAACCACACTCGCCGCCTTGGAAAGCGAGCTATGCCCCATACTCGTCAAAACCTGCACATCCCTCACACCGGCACGCACACACGCCCCCAACAACCCCTGCTCCCCGACATTTCCCCCGCGCTTGGCAACGACATGTTCCCTCCCGCACGCGAGTCCGAGGACGTTACTCGCCGTCGCACCGGTCGTAAACGTCCTCCCCTTCCACACCTCCTCTCCGTCTCTACTTCCGTCTCCTCCGTTCTCAAGCCCCAACACATCAGCAAGCATCCCCAACGCAACGCTCTCCACCTCGGTAGCAACAGTCTGCCCCGGCAAATGCACCTGCACATTCTGATCCAGCGCCGAGACGACGGTATCCGCCGCCTCGGCTACCGGGAGAGATCCGCCCGTGACGAAGCCGTAGTACCGGCCGCTGCGGGCTTGACCGTTGAGGGCGGGGACGATGTCCGTGAGGATGTGGGTTAGCGTTGCTTCGGTGCCCAGGGGGGCGAGGTAGTCGGCATTGGTGGTGGTGGAGGACTCCTCTCCGTCCTTGACACCGGCGCTGCGAGATGGTCGTCGAGGGAGGGATGCCGATGCGGCGGCGAGGGAGGCCGGGGAGGGGAGGGTGGGGGCGTCGGGGCTGTCTGGGAGTGCGGCGCGGAGCCGGGCTTGGAATGCGGGGGATGTCATTTTTGGTATTTGGTTGTTGGGCGGGGGAACCTAAATGTGCGGGGGCGCGGTTCCGGGTCTTCGGGGTTGATAGAAAGATGTAGAAGATTAAGTGGCTCCAGTTGTGTTAAACAGCTGATGTATGTGAGCTCTAGTCGTGTGTAGAGTTACCTTATGTAACAGAAAAGAAAAGTCGTCTATCCGTAGTACCTTATACAAAACTACTCGTCAAGAAATGGCGTACGGCTCCTCCTTGGCGTATTCGGCGTGTTTTTGTAGTTTCCGGGATTTGACTCATCGCCCCGTAACGGTGTTTGAATCCTCTTTTCGGCCTCGGCCTCGCGTTCTTTTGGCGGGACTTTTGGAAATTCGGTGAAAATCCTACCGGAATACTACGGGAAGTCACTCGGAGCTACGGCATAAGGTCTAGTGTGGAGTCAATAAGAAGAAGCCGGCGTCAGCTTCCGATCTTGGCATCGTTCGTCGGAGAGCCCCAGTTCAATTCTCGGCTGCGTGTGCTTTCCCAACTTTCCAAGTTCCCCCGCGGGGGGAGACGGGGTTAAGGCAGCAGGCTGTTTAGACAGACAGGCAGAAAACTGTGTTAGTAGACGTAAACTCAAACAGCACAAAAGAACAGATGACACACAAAGTCAAAACGATATCAAAACACAAAACGAGCGTTGATATATGCGTGCAGGGAAGAACCCTCCGCGGGCCATGTGGTGTGAACGGGACAATCATAGTGTGCGAAAATTCCGGACATCGCCTCGAATCGATAGTTTATCTTACAAAAAAAACGAAGGAAAAAAGAGAGCATGTATGTACAAGAAAAATTGAGAGCCAACCCAAGGGCCCTTTCACATGTGCCGCGCGCTTAGACTGGCAAACGCATCGGGGCTGTGTCGCCCGTTCGTCCACTGCATATCTGTAAATGCCATGCTCTCGCGACTGACGCCCGCCTTGCGCGGCCCGACGGTATTCGCGACGGGAGCCGCCATTGCCTGTTGTGGTGGCGGTGACATGCCACCACCACCACCGTTCATCAAGAATGGGTTCTTGCTTCCTGCCGCCATGGATCCGCTCGCTGCCTCTTGGCTTTGTTGCTGAGATGCCGCAGCCTCGGGGTGGGTCTCCTGCGTCTGCGCCTGGGCTTGGGGTGCAAAAGGCTGAGGTGCCAGCTGCGGCTGACTGTACAATGCCAGAATCGAAGCCTTGTCTGGTCGTTGAGGTTGCTGGTACGCAGGTTGCGGTGCAGGAGATTGGTATTGTTGCTGTGGCATCTCCTGTTGCTGGAACGGGTGTTGCGCCTGCTGCTGGAATGGTTGCTGTACCGGTTGCTGGAAAGCGTTCTGTTGCGGTTGCTGGTACGGGTTGTGTTGCTGCTGTTGCTGCTGTTGCTGCTGACTGAACGCCTGCTCTTGCTGGAATGATTGCTGGTACATCTGCTGTTGCTGCTGCTGCTGCTGCTGCTGTGGTACCTGCTGTTGCCCTGTAGGTTGCGAGCCCAGCTGTGCAAAGAAGGGATTGCTGCTCTGCGGCGTCATTGTCTGCGGAGAATCCATGTAGAAGTTGGATTGTGACTGCTCGGGTATCTGGCCTAGCGAAGGCGACTGGATCCTCGTCGGAGATCGAGTGAACGGGTTGTTCGCATATGGGTTTGATGATTGCCCTGTGTTGACTGCAAGGTTTTGTTGCTGCTGAGGCTGGGCCTGGTTCGTAAAGAATGGGTTGTAGCCTGTTGCTTGCGGCTGGATGGGTTGGGGATATGTCATATTACTATTAAAGCTCATAGGGTTGTAGTTTTGCTGCTGGTGATGGTGCTGCTGCTGCTGCTGCTGCTGCGGGATGGGAGGCGTCATGGACTGCTGGTACATCTGCTGAGGCTGAGCAAACGGCTGAGAAGCCGGCAATCCGCCTGTGTGATGCGGGAAAAGGGGCTGCGCGGGCGCGAGGGACATGTTGCCGAAAGCCTGAGCGATGTCTTGCTGCTGCTGTGTCGGAGCACCGAACGGGTTGTTCGCGTAAGGGTTCTTGTTCTGGAGCGTGCCGGTCGATTGAGAAGACTGAGGCTGCGGCGGCAGCATGTCGAAGGGGTTGTTGCTAGAGGCTGTCGAAGGCGATTGGGGGTGGTCACTGAAAGTCTGATGCGGCGCAGACAGTCCACTAGACGTTGATAGGTTTGCGTGGGAGCGTGTCGCGCGCAAAGAGCTCTCGCGAGGCCCTGTCAATGACGGTGACCGCCTGTCGCTCTCGCCCAACCGCACCAGTGTCTCGATCGCGCGCTCCAGGTTTCCATTCACGCCTTTCAAGACCATGGCGTTGCGTTGGCCGTCTGAGAATCCCATGTCCCTCAGACTGGCCAGCTTCCTCTCTGTATCTTCCTGCTCGTACGACACGCTTGCGCCAAAAACCTTGGAGGGCTTGTTCGGCAAATCGCTGGGCGAAGGGCTTCGCGGCTCTCGGGGACTCGACATGGTGTTACGCAGTGACGAATCCTTTCTTAGCCGGGATGATAGCGGGAAGATTGACGAGGCTGATCTGAACCCAAACTTTCCTCCCGACTTGGGTGGCAACGGCGGAGGAACGCCTTCGTCTGAAAGACCCGAGTGTTGCTTCCTCGTGGGGATGGGGATGTTGTTCATGTATTTGGTGCGGATGAATCGTTCCATGGCGGAATCAGCTTCGTCGGCATCGACGGGGACGGGAGGTCTCTTGTTATCGGGGTTGTAAATCTGGTTGGACCTGACGTTTCCGACCTTTTTCATATTCTGCGACAGACAGTTTGGTCAGGGGCGACGAATCTCGATATTGGATATGCATTTGCACAAACCTCCACTTGTTCATTAGACCAGCTGTCCATGCTCAGGGATTTCACCTTTGAGATATGGGTTCCCAACTTTCGATGGATAGCGGCACATCTCATGCAAAGGAACACGCCCAGCTACAGTCGCACGTCAGTCTCGCTCGTCAATGGAGGCCGTCTCAGTCGAATCGAATTCGTATCGATAGGGCGCATGGGGAGGGGGGGATAGTCGCGCTTACACTCCAAGAGGCCCATGCTGCGAACTACTGTCAGTATTTGGCCCACGGTCTGAGCGGCGGGAGAGCACAATTGCATTTACCTGGGTTCCGCGCCTGGCAGTCGGCGCACAAGTTGTTCCCCGGTACGGACTGGACCAGATCGTGGAGGACTTTTTCGTTACGCGCCTGCTGGCGCTTGCTCAGGACACCGGCCATGTTTCGGTAGGGTACTGTGTGCAACGGTCGACGTCGGCGGCAGTGTGTCGTCGGGGGCGTGGTTTGTCGGTTCGTCGTTTTCGTAGGAAACAAGTTTGGGTTGGACAAGGCGCGGGTCGTCAAGATCGGAAGGCAGATCGAGGGGTTCTCTTCGAGCCAAGCAGGGGCGGGCGGCGGCAGGTAATTGGGCGGAAAGATGGGTTTTAGGAAGGGGTATTAAGAAACAAGGTGTACCATGGAAATTATGCACTGGGGAAGAGGGAGCCCGATGTCGAAGGTGGAAAGGGAACCGCGTTAAACATGGCCTCAATCATGCGTAGAGGAGGCTGAGGAAAACGGACACCAGCGTCGGAGAGTGAGACGGAATGAATGGGATTGCTGATGGCGGCGAACCAGGCTGCATTCGAGAAGGGAGCAAGAAGAAATGGCCGTTTGTCGACTTTGGGATCGAATTGTTTTAGATGGCCTCGGCGGCGCAATGGAGCAATGGAACAAAAGAATGCCCTCAGTAATGAAAGACGACGGAACGCTCCACTTGTGCTGCCCAAAGTGATGTGTGTGTCTTGGTAGGACTTGGGTGCCTTTCGTGAGCAAGGTACTTTGTAGGTAGTGCGCGACTCAGGAAAAAGGAGAGAAGATCAACCTGCAAAGCAGCACACCAGATGGCATACCAGGTGCAAGCAGCAACTTGGCAAGCAGCAAGAGGGGAAAGGCCAAAGGTGGAGTCGGCTATCTAGCCCAAAGAGGATAGTGTCAATGGAACTTGGGCTTGGGGAGGGGGGGGCTCAGGGGCCCAGGCTGGCGATGGATCTGGACAAAGAAGCCTGTTGCTTCCTGGTCGTCCTGTGAGAGGCGGGAGAAAGCGATGAGAGAGAGAAAGACACAGAGAGCGACGTAGGAAAACAAATAAAAATAAATAAAACCGAGATAATATCAGAGGGGTGCGGTCCCTGGTGCTGGCCCCTGGGTGGTGCTGGGTTGGACTGGAAGCGTGGGAGGAACGCGTGGAAGTGGATTCGGGGCCCTCCACGCTCGGCTATCCGCGAATGACGGCCCCGGCTCAACCTTCCGTTGTCATCTTGGGCCATTGGTTCCCGTCACGGGCCAAGTGGATCCAAGCTGAGAGAGAAAGGGCCCGACATTATTCCGGTGGTGCCGCGGGTCCGGGTGCTGCCGAGCGCAATCAGTGGAAGTCCACAGGTGGGGCGCGGTCCATCAATGATGAAGGTCAACATCTCTGATTCGCCTGACGAATAGGAGAGGCCGTCTATGTAGTGTACCGGTATTCAGGTTGAAGGCCGTTTCTTTTTGCCCTTGTCAATCACACTTGTCGATTGATCACCTCGATCAACTTCACCTGCTCGAGTGCCACTCACAGGTCCCGTTTCCGACGCTGCAGTTCTGCCAGATCGAAGCCATCGTTTCAGCTGCTGCACGTCGCCTTGTGCCACCGGCTCACAACGGCCGCCAGCCAGCAAGACTTGAGATGCTGTCTGACCTCATCCGTCGCCTTGACAGTTTCCGCCTCGAGACCCATCTGGCTCTGTCTGCTTCACTCTTTTCCCTTGGCATAATGATGCCTCGCCTGTTCAGTGTTCATGCCAATACTATGCCAACGCAATTCCAATACAGGGCAGGCAGTCAGCATGGTAGGCAGATAGCCATCCGACGAGGCCGAACAAGGGTAGCTTGGGGGTTCCACTGTGTGTTGATGTGTCTGGTAGATGAAATGCGGCTCACTCGGCCAATCAGCCAAAGTCAGCAGATGCACATCCGCGATTGCCGACCTGCCACCATTCTAGAATCCAAGGTCCTCACCGCGCAGCTCGGGGCTATCCTGCGACCGTTTCAACGCTCTGTTCTTGCGCAATATGACGTGGGTTTGTGAGCGCAAGAGACTTCCACAGCGACGCAAGAAGTTAGTTCTAGACATGTTCTGCATCTCATGATCCATAGGTTGAACCCATAGGAATCACGGGAGTCAACCTTCAACTTACTATTCTCCTGTGTTATTTTGGATCGTAAACCTCGGTTCCGCCGCATGGCAATCTCGGGTTGGTCGACGAGGCTGAGAATCCGAGCGATAAACGGGTGGGAAGATTGCACTGCTCTTCTACCTTATGCAGGCGTGGGACTTACACCTGGATCGAGTACTTATCCATTCGAAGTAGACTATTGTACCCGTAGCTAATTACACATACG